GGTGATGTTCATAGTAGTGGAGGAGATGGTGATTGTAACACCCTAAAAATTCAAACCAATTTAAATTTTTCAAAACCAACCCAGTTTCGTTAAATTATTACCAAATGGTTTCAACAAAGTTACTATCAAAGTCATCCGGGATTAGGGTAATATGTTCTTTATATAGTGCTCAACACCCGGGATTAGGGTTTTTTCCACACAGCACCAACTCGTCGATTCCACCTATGCAACTCGCCGAGTTGGTCACTTATCATGCGACCTGAAACGCGACTTGACTCGCTGAGTCTATCATAGACTCGCCGAGTCGACCTTCTTATTTACACCTTTAGCCCTTCCACTTTACTTCTGAATTCCAGGATGTTACAGTGAAGGTAGAAGTAATGGAGGTAGTGATTGTGTCAGTGGCACTGGAGGTGTAGATGGGTAAAAGAGGTTTTGGTGATGATAATTGTGGAGATGATTGTGGCAGAAGTGTTGGTCGAGGCGATGGCGACGATGGTGATGGTTGGTGTCAGAGGTACCAGTGGTGGTGGTGGTGGTGGTAGTGGTGGTGGTTGGTGGCGGAGGTAGTGTTGGTGGTGGCGGAGTGGTAGAGGTAGTGGTAGAGGTATTGCAGGTGGTGGTGGTAGAGAAGAGGGGAGGTGGTGAATTCATATATGAATATAGTTACGTTATATATTATCGTATCGCGTTTTGCGACAAAAATAAATGATAGACTGAGAATGATTCCCTCATTTTCAACTTTTTTTTTCTCAATTATATATATATATATATATATATATATATATATATATATATATATATATATATATCAACTGTTGTAAAAAACTGAATTAGATCCGAATTAATCTCCAATTAGTTCGAAGGTGCTGCCCAGCATCCATGCCAACAAAATAAACTAAGTGGTAGCAAATGATAAAATTTGAACACATTGAAGATGTTCTGTCTGAATAAAAACTATTTGAGGATTGATTATGTTGTATTAATCATATTAACACATTTTTTTGTGATATATATATATATATATATATATATATATATATATATATATGTGTGTGTGTGTGTGTGTGTGTGTGTGTGTGTGTGTGTGTGTGTGTGTGTGTGTGTGTGTGTGTGTGTGTCAGTGTTGTAAAAAACTAAACTAGATCCTGATTAGTCCCCACTTAGTTCGAAGGCACTGCCCAGCCGAGTTGAAGGCGACTAAGGATTAATCCATGCCAACAAAATGAACTAAGTAGTAGAAAATGATAAAATTTTAACACATTAAGGATGTTCTGTTTTAACAGAAACTATTTGAGGATTGATTATGGACAATTATTGTACGGTCGTGTGGACATCGTTATTTTATGAGAATTACTAAGAGAATAAGTTATTTAGTAATGCGGATACGTTAAACTATACAAGAATATCATCATTTTCATGCATTGTCACTAATTCTTATTCATTTTATTCTCACATATCATTTTTCAATCATTTTTATTATGATAGAATACGACTCAAAAAACATTCTAACAGAATGAGAATAATAATTAAAAATCTATAATAAATCAATTAAAATAGAAATCATCGCCCGTTTGTGATCTCACCAACCCACCCCACACACTCACACCGTTCTTTCTCTTTTTTTCCCTCTTTGTCACATGCCAACCTACCATTGCTTTGGTTTTAATTTTCATTTGTTTCGGGTTTTTTGTCATTACTTTTTTTTCTTTGAAATCAATTTTTTTTTGAAAAAGCCAAAGGTTTTTAAATTTAATTCTCTAATAATGAGCATAACATGGAAATTTTAAAAGAATTTTTTTTTTAATTTTTTAATATTAATAAAAAAACCTAGAAAAGAAACTCAAAAAATTATAAAATTTTAAGAAATACTTCTATTCATTATAGTAGTGACCTTGTACAAAGATTTTTTCTAAAAAAGAAGATGTTTTAGATACCAAACTTGATTTTAAAAAGTATAGGTTTTGTTAAAATAATGTAGAACATAAAAAGATTCAAAATGAGATGATTCAAAAAAAATTGTAATTCATAAAATTTATAATTCAACATGTTTATGAAACTAATTTAATTTGTTATCATCTAAAAATATTTTATTCAAATATTATGTGATTCATATTATGATATATTTTATGATTTAAAATTAAATGATTCAATGATCCAAATGTTGTTATGAACAAAAAAATCTTATTTAATTCAATATATTAGGATCCAAAATCATAACATTAAAAAATAATATTATCGAAAATAAGATTATTCAAAATGATATAAAACAAAATTTAATAATCCAAAAATAATATGATAAAAAATAGTATGGTTCATAATATTTTTATGATTCGAAACTTTTTATAATTGTTAGATGTCAAAACATCGAACCGAGGTTTAATTTTGAAAAAAATGTGAAAAAAAATCAAAAACAATAAAAGCAAAAAGAAACACAAAAAAAAAAACTTTGTAGGCATTGACATAACGTTAAAAACACACAAAAAAATAATAATTAAATAAATAAATAATAACAGACAATGCAAAAAAAACTGAAAAATTGAGTATAAACTTATATATATAGCAAAACCCACTATAATGGCTCTACAAAGTTTTTTGTTAAATAAAAAATTAAACAAAACAGAATATATTAAAAGAAATTTCAATAATAAAAAATAAATGAAAAACTCATTTAAATGATTCTTAATTCACGTTCGTCTTACATGATTATTTTTTCGAGTTTCTATTACGTTTCACCAACTTGCGTCGCATGTGAACGGGTGACGAACTACTAATTATGTTTAACATTTTGTGCTATTGACAAAATATGTGGTGGAGAATTGCACTCGTGGTTTCTACTATTTTTTGGGGTACTACTGCATCTGTAACATATATATATATATATATATATATATATATATATATATATATATATATATATATATATATATATATATATATATATATATATATAAACAAGTTGAACTTTCAACGAATTGTTCGTGGACCGTTCGACAGGAAGTTTATTTATGTTCATTTATTTAATCATTGAACGAATATGAACAAAAATTTTTGTGCTTTTAGTTAAACGAATGAACGCGAACAATGGTCTCGATCGTTCAATTAAGTTTGTAAATGTTCGTTTATATGCGTGCATATAAGTTCGTTTTATATTCATATATGTTCAATTTTGGGAAAAAGATGGCTATAGACATTTTTTTGGGGGTGAGGGGTTCATAATTTAGTCACAAAAAACAAAATTCCAACTATAGACATGCATTCTGCGGTACAACCCTCTGCGGGCTCTACAGACTGACAAATACTCTAGGGATCGTTGAATTTTATACGATATCGTACGGACCGTAGAGGCTCCACAGAGCTACCTCCAAGGAGTGTTGGTTCTATCGTTCTTTAAATCCCAAGCGTAGCTTGTGATAAGGGCTCCACGGACGCGTTAACCTCTCTGCAGAATGGTTGGTTATAGAGGTATTAGCAATAATTTTTTATGATATAAAGGATTTTTTTATCTATTTTCGAAACTCCATCAGTTGTAGGGGTGACAATTTTCTCAAAGAAAATATGAGTTGTTTTATTTTATGTACGAGGGTTTCTGGCAGTTGTGTAATGCAATTATCACCTACGTTAGACCAAAGTTTAACAACTTATGTTTACTAATTCCATTTAATTCTGACCGTCGAATGTTGTTTGATTTGATTATACCTAAGGATAATATGGTCAATAGTAATATATCATTGTCATTTCAACACCCACATAATGGGCATTTTATGAATATTGTAGATGAAGCGGATGTCCATCAACTTAGAAACGTAATGTCTGAAATGAAGGAGATTGTGCATTTGTTTTGGAGGTATTTAAGGGATGGGTCGAACAAAAATAAGCGGTTGACGAGATTGTATCATACAACGTTGAAAACATTGTATCTGATAATGCTGAAGAGTGTCAACAAGAAAAAACCGTGGCAATGAATATGGTGGAAGAAGAAATTTTGTATGAGTTTTGAAAACTAGGTGACAAAGCTTTGTCATACGATGAAGAATTAAATGATGGCTGATCAGAAGATGAGTTCACAAGAAAAAAAAAAAAGCTTAAGACATATGTTATGGTATGCCTCCCACACCTGAGTGTCCTAATCCGATTCTTGAACCTGGACCATTTCACAGTTTAGGTCCAAATGATGATATTTTTGTTCGTTAAAAAGTATGATAACAAACAACAATTAATATTTTCTTTGAATCTTAAAGCAACTAGAAAAAAGTTCTTGTTTCATACCGAAGATTCTAACGAAAACCATTACATGGTATATTGTGAAATTGAGAACTATAGTTAGCGTTTATATGCAAAATACCTTGATCCAAATGATGAATTTGAAATCATGACTTTCAACAACGTGAACACATGTTCATCATTACAAATACACCCAAATCATAAGCAGACAAATAAAAAAAGTCATGGGTACTATATTGCATGAAATTATGGGAAAAACTCGTTCTGAGGTTTGAAGGCCTAATGAGATATCAAGGAATTTGAATGTTTTGCTAGAAATCAATGTAAGTTACAAAGTAGATGCAGATACTCCTCAACAGTCCATGGTTTTGAACCCATTGTAAGAGATACAAAGTAGATGCAGTGATATAGACTAGATGAAATGACACAGATTTTCGAGCCATTTTATGGTGAAATTTAATTTACGACTCCTCACTTCGCATAACTAACTTGGCAGTCCACGGAAGTGACTTGGCAGTCCGCGAAACAAATATAATAACAAAAAAAAACACATATTTATATTAAAGGAAATTACTAAAAACAGGTATTTCATATTAATATATACAAAGTTCCTAAAATCAAGTTATATAGTGTCCTAAATAATATTCGCCATCCTATTTATATATAAATCATGCATCTCTACGTGGCCTATCAGTTTTCACCGGTACCCCCAATATAATCATTTCCATAAACATGCATACGAATACACCACAATCCCCTCTATCTTCGATGTATTCCTATTGTGGCATGTCTATAGCTTCAATAAATTCCACAATTGCAGTTTCTCTGTGTCCATCAGGGTAATCGTTCCCATACTCAATCACATCTACCTTTGAGATAATACTATCACCAAAACTTTGGAATTCTCCACCAATCTTGTACCTTCTGAAGAAATTCATAGATCGTGTTGAATCATAAATGTTTACTTTCCACATTGTTAAATCTAGCACTGCCGAAAACCGATGGACACCAATAAGGTTTATGGGGAATAGAACCTGGAAAAAAAAATTAATTAATTAAATAGTAGTAAATTTAGTAATATTATATATATATATATATATATATATATATATATATATATATATATATATATATATATATATATATATAAAACTAAAATGACCATATCCACATCCTTCCATTAAGGATAACCTCCAATACTATTTGCTACATTCCATAAAAAAATGTTACTTTTTGGGGTTGCCAATTAATTTCTTGATGGTATATCGTCCACCTTGCGTCCGTTGGCCGTCTTTCCATGAACAAGTCGCTGGATATTGCAATATGTTGTACGTTTTAAAATAAAAACGTTACAATTATTTATATAAATTATCGTCTAAAAAAGTAGTTAATGTTTAACGAATATTACAGAAGAAATTAACCACCCAGAGTCAGTACTTCTAAGTGACCTTGACCAAAACTCCACATCCGGTGGGAGTATATGCAACCTATGTGTAGTGTTGAGGTTGGAAGAGATCATATTTCATTCTTTCCAAAAATCCAACGTACTATCTGTTGGATTTGGTGTCTAAGCCTATAACTATAACATGTATGTACTTGACCCGATAGTAGCATGGTCCTTTTGGGTTGCCTTCACATGTATAATTTGATATGATGGTTTCATGAGAATAAGGTTATTGATGATTTATTAATATATTATAAGTATAATATATTAATATGGTTATTTAATTAGTATTGTCTAAGAATTAACTTGGAATTACTTTTGTGGTCAAAAGAGACTAATTAAATATGGAGGGATTGATTATGTAAATCAATGATACTTATAGTTTGGGCTAAGTGATCCATGATTATGTAAGTGGACTAAACCAATCATATAACCCATGGATAGTCCATGGAGGTTAAAACCATGGGTCACAGGAATGTGGAAAGTCATGGATCATTAGGGTTTACAAAGTGTAACCCTAGCACTTGCCACAACAATAAATAGACCCTTCCATACACCAAATTTGGTTGCACGAACCATAGAGACAAGTAACATATTCTCTTAGAACCTCCTCTTGCATATTGGTGTTTGTGAACCATTAGAGGCATCACACTTGATGTGCTCAAGCTTTCGAAGGTGAAGAACTCTACCATACTCAAGAGTTATGTATCCTAACTATGTTTTGATTATATATATATAGCTTTAAATGTATGCTAGCTAGGGTGAATGCTTTGGAAAAAGAAAATGCATGTATAATTAGAGAAAACGTAGATAAAAAACATTTAGGGTTACATGTGCACTTAGGAAGTGTAACAATGCTCAAAATCCATGAGTGGTATCAATGCGTAGGATTGTTTTCTATTATATTTGATGCTTGCTTGTTTTCAAAGTTTAAAAAATTGAGTTTTCTGCATTCTAACTAATGAACTCGCCGAGTCCACTGGGGGACTCGACGAGTTCATGCAGAAATGAAGCTAATCGACGAGTCCACTTCATGGACTCGCCGAGTTGGCTGTTCAGAGTGCAAAAATTCATGTTTTTGGCCAATATTGGATTTGATCGTTACCCCAAACTGTTTTGAATCATAAACGTATGTTTTTTTTAAGGTATGGTAGTGATCATGCTCATCCAATTGAAAGGTTATTATCGAATTTTTAAGATAGTTGTTGTTTTATATGATAAACCAAATTGTTTTATAATTGTTGATATAGAATTGCCTTGTATATGAGTTTATTTCGATAAAAAATTATATGATAATTTATTTGTTAGAAATATGATCTATTTGATGTTTAATGACCTCCATAACTTGTCCTCAAGTTACAGAAAATGAAAGGTTTCATCATTAAAATCAAATTAAACTCATAGGTTATGAATACGAAGGGTTTTGACAAGTTTCCAAACTTGCCCTCAAGTTTTGAAATTTTCAAAGTGTCATTAAATGAAACTTTAATTCCAAACCCTATATTTTTAAAAAGTTAAAATTCAACCCTTATACTTTACAATATTATAGTTTCGTAATATATATATATATATATATATATATATATATATATATATATATATATATATATATATATATATATATATATATATAAGAACAAGTCACTCTTACCACTAGTAGGTCTCATTCACGAAGCCAGTCTATAAGGCGGTATAAGGTTACTGCCTATAAAATGGTGGTTTAATGGTTGTCCACTCTCACCCACCGCTTCCTTGACTAGTGGAGGGTCGTTAGCCGAACGGGTAGGATAGGACACTAATTCTCCCTCATTAAAAGTATAATGATAAATTAAAGTAACTAAACTTTTTATTTAATTCCCAATCTTAGTTACTTTAGGAAAATGTGAAAATGGTGCTAATCCATGAAATTACACTTTGCACATTGTTAAGTCGTTAGTGGAGCGTGTGTGGTTAACCGACACACTAATCAGAGACTGACAATGTGTGGCAAAGGGTAGCTTGGTGGTATTCATAGATCAATGGAGCATGTGTGGTTAACCAACACATTGATTAGGTGATTTGTGACATTGGGTGTACCATGTTAATTTGCATGGTTATTCACACCTTGTTTGTGATCCTCAGCATCCTAGTCACAAACTTGAAGGAAACAATAGAGATTTAAACATCTCTTTGAAAAGTTCAATGAATCTTAAAGATCTAGGAATTTCAAACCAATTAAAACCTAATAATCTATATCGTTTTTCATGCTGGAAATTGGTAAATCATCATTTACATACCTTCAAATATTCTGCAATTGGATTACGGCATCCATCTTCGCAATTGTAGAATAGTGTGTTGGATCCTAGCCTTAATATTTCATATTTGGTGTAATATTAAGGATTCTCTTCTAATCTAAACTTTGTTTTTCTTCTTTTTTAGATGTCTACCCCAAACAATGCTTCCGCACCAATTCCTTTAGGTTGTTTCTCCCTAATGAACCTTTGTGGGAAGGTCATTTTTGATGGCTCGAATTTCAACGATTGGATTCGAAACATCATAATAGATATTCATTATAAGGACAAAGAATATGTCCTTGATAAAGAGCTAAAGGAAATTGATGTCACCACTACTACTCCTGCACAAATTGCTGAGCACACTACTCAAGAGAGGGATGCAACAAAGGTGTCATGTCTTATGATTGTAACCATGACTGTTGAGCTGCAGAAGTCCTATGAGGACTATTATCTCTATGAAATATATCATGATTTGATGGAAAGATACCATCAAAGTGCTCGACAGTAAAGGTATGAGATCATTGCCTCCTTGATCACAACGAAAATGAAGGATGGTGAACCCATCACGACCCACTTGTAGAAGATGCAGAGATATGTGGACCGCTTGCTAAAATTGAATGTCAATTCTATTGAAGAGTTGGCCATAGATATAATTCTACACTCTTTACCTTCTTGTTATTATCATTTTTGTACGACGTATAATATGAACAAAGAGGAGGTCACTCCCAGCAAGCTTCAAGGGCTTCTAAGGACTACAAAAAGCAACCTTAAAGGCAAATCGGTCGTGTCTACTCCTACTACTACTTCTGCCCCTGTTCTGGAAATAGGAAATGGAAATGTAAAGAAGAGGATTGCTCCCTCCAAGAGCCAAAAGGGAAAGTCCCTTGATGGATCCTGGTTCAGTTAATCCTTCTTCTAATCTGAAGGATGCTGATTGTTTCCATTGTTATACAAAAAGGCACTGGAAACGAAGTCGCACCAAGTACTTGTAGGACATAAAGGATGGGAAGAACAAACCCACCTTTGTCGGTATTTACACTATTCAATCTAATAACTCATCACATGCTAATTCTTGGGTCCTTGATACAGGTTGTCGATTTCACATTTGTTTTGATTTGCAAGGACTAAAGAGAAGTAGGGATGTGGAGTACGGGTAGATAAACTTAATCATGGGAAATAGTAAAATGCCGTATGTGACCAAGATTGGAGATTATTCTTTATTGCTTAGAAATGGTTTAAATGTGAATTTGAAAAATTGTTGGTACTCGGCCGATATGGCGAGAAATATTGTTTCTTTTCACAGTTTGTACAAACAAGGTTTTACCTTTTCCTTTAATAATGAAGTGGGTGCAATTTATGCTTACTATAAGGGTGTATTTTATTTTCAAGAATTACCTTGCAATGGTGTATATGAAACTGTGAATGTTGTAGATAACTTAGGAAATACTGTGTTGAATATTGATTCGTGCAATGCTTTGGACAAGGCATGCTTGTGTCATTGTCGTCTTGGACATGTCAACAAGAAGCCCATAGCCTAACTCCAAAAGGATGGAGTCTTGGAGTCATTCGACTTAAAGTCGGATAACACTTATGAATCTTGCTTACTTGGAAAGATGACCAAGTTACCCTTCACTGGTACTTGTGAAACGGGTGAAGGTTTGTGGGACCTCATTAACACCGATGTGTGTGGAACATTCAGAACCGCCACATGGGATGCTAATCGCTTCTATGTAAAATTTACAGATGATTGTAATAGGTATGGCTATATCTACTTAATCAAGAATAAGTTAGAAACCTTTGAAAGGTTCAAAGAGTTTAAGCAAGAAGTGGAAAATCAATTAGGCAGGAAGATAAAGATGCTACGATTCGATCGCGGAGGAGAGTATATTAGTATCGAGTTCCTTGACTATATTAAGGAATGTGAAATTATTTCACAACTGACGCCACCTAGAACACCACAACTTAATGATGTGGCTGAGAGGCGCAATAGGACCTTGCTAGACATGGTTCGTTCCATGACGAGTCAAGCTTCATTACCAATCTCATTCTGGGGGTATGCCTTAGAGTCTACCACGCATATCCTTAATCTAGTCCCTACCAAAAACGTTTCCAAAACACCTCACGAGATGTGGACTGGGAAGGTTCCCACACTAGACCATATCAAAGTTTGGGGTTGCGAGGCTTTTGTGAGAAAGGAAACTCATGACAAGCTCGAACCTCAGAGTGATCAATGTATTTTCATCGGCTAAATGCAAAAGTCCTTTGGATATCTCTCCTATAGACAGAGTGAAAATGTTTTCTTCCTTGTGAAGACAGGAGGAGAGAGAGAGAGAGAGAGAGAGAGAGAGAGAGAGAGAGAGAACTCAAATGCCAAGAGGACAATGGGAAACAAATTGACCTTGAAGAGCTTCAAGAGTTAAGTGATAAAGGAACCTCAAACACTAGCACTCAACCCGAGGAGGAAACTTTGATTGAACCAATTGACAAGTCCGAGGTGTTCCAGTAATGTTAGTGTTCCACCTGTGTTATATGGTTTTCATACAACAGCTGAAGGTGCTACATTTATCAGTGAAACCACACTGATAAAATTTGATGAACCTAACAACTACAAGGAAGCCATGGCAGGCCTCGAGTCTTCAAAATGGAAAGAGGTTATGGACAGCAAGATTCAGTCCATGTGTGACAATCAAGTTTGGAACTTGGTTGATAATGTATCGGTCCGTAAGACAGTCAGGTACAAATGGATCTTCAAGAAGAAGACCGACATGGATCGGAATGTACATTTTACCGGTCCATATAAGG